GTCTTGGGGACGTGCGACAGCTAGCCATGCTGGGCCTCACCTGGCCGCTGCCCCCGCCGGCCTGGGCAGCGCTGGCCTGCCGGGCTCCGAGCTCGGACCACCTGGCGGGCCGTGCTGGTCCTCTTGGCATCGCCGGTGGTGCCAGAGGTCGCTCGAAAATCGGGGCCAACGGTCAAAATGGCAACAAGAAAACAACAGCACGGAAGCTGGGAATAATACTTGAAAGTGTAGGTTTTCAGAATTTGCAGGGGTAAAGATAGATACTGCCTCTCATTTATTCATCCTGCTACTCAAAAGAGTAAAAGAAGAGTGTAAGATGATTTGCCTTTTATTGACTTTCATTTGTCTAATTTGTTTTCATTCCTGTATTAATTAGAATTAGTATATTTACATTTAGCTTCCAGTAGAGTGAAGTTAATATTAACTAATTGACTTGTGAGGCTGATGAGCAAACAGGAGCATCAGCTGATGGCGGCTGCTAGGAGTGAGAAATAGCTCTCTGAGAAGCCAGTTTGTGAAAAAAAAGAGCATTTGACACAGAATCCATTTATCGACTATTACAGGATCTGTTAGCTACTCCAGATTCACTTCCTTTGGTTAAAACGTACATTTTTGGATTTAACAATTGCTTGTGGTGTCTGTAACTGTAAATAGCTGTTATTCATACGCATGTTAAAAAGTACTGTCTCTTAGTAAAATTGGAGTTTAAGAGAACAAGGAGTAAGGCCGGTGTACGTGTTTGACATAGGCTTTTAGATCACAAAAAAATCTCCACAAGACAGTCTATTTTTGTTGTATTTATTTTCGATTGAGTAAGCTACATAAGCATGTTAGAATAGACATTAGTATGCATGTTAAAATACATAATTTGGCTTTAATATATGTGTGTGTGATTTCCCACACACATTTTTTTTTGGCAGAAAATGCTTTTGGCATTTTGGTACTTTTTGGCAGAATCTGTCTTTATTCTCCCTAAATTATTTTTGACAGTGGAATTCATTGTTGGTAATAAGCTTGCTAGAAACCTAACATAACTGCCAGCGATTGCCATGGAACAACCCCAAAATGTAAATTTAATAGTAATCAAGTCTGAAACATTTAATTTCCTTTGCACTGTAATGCTCAACACATCATCATGCTAAGGACAGGACTTAAAACTATGTCTTGTTCTCTCTTTGTCATTTCAGTTGGACGCATTGTCTTTGAATTATTTGCTGATGTTGTACCTAAAACTGCTGAAAATTTCCGTGCATTATGTACAGGAGAGAAAGGAACAGGGCCTACCACTGGAAAACCTCTCCATTATAAAGGATGTCCTTTCCACAGAAGTAAGTTCTAAGAAATCCTCTTGTTTTCCTTGGTAACAGAAGTCCTCCATTATCAGTATTGAAATAATGTTATATAGTATTTTGGAACACTTGTTCAAGAAATATCTTGACTGAAAGTAAGTTTTTGACTTTTTGATCCTCCTAATGACTAGATGTTCTTACCACGCATTGACAATAGTAAATTATAAATTTACTAGTAAGTTAGTAAAACTAGTTTACTATGAGTTGTGAATAGATTGAAATGGATTTCAGGTAAAGGATTAAATATGAAGTGATGTCCACAACTGACACGGAGTACTTGGGGGACACAATAAATAAAAGGTGGGTTTTGGTTTTATTTGGGTGCAGCTGCTGGTGACAGGGACTGCTCTTCGTCTCTGAATTGTTTTTCTTTGTGTCTTTCCTGCCTTGCTGCTGTATCTTATAGTTATTTTCTTTCACAGTTATTAAGCAATTTATGGTCCAGGGTGGAGATTTCTCAGACCAAAATGGCACGGGTGGAGAAAGTATATATGGTGAAAAATTTGAAGATGAGAACTTCCATTATAAGGTACTCTGTTGAAACTACTAATTGTCTTCAGTTTTTGAAGTTTCAGTGATTTTTATTTTTCTTCAAGTTCAGAATTAGCGCTCTTTAGTCCAAGGTTAATGTATTTTTAAGCAGTGGAAAGGATGCAGCAAAAAAGCCACAAACTGGTTTGTCCTCAAAGTCTTTGTTGAATACAGAACAAATACATGTATGAATACATACAAAATGAGGTCAACCTCATTAACACAAAGACAACCATAGTTTACATTTTCATTTCACCATCAGAAATTAATTTGAAATAATATTTTAGTTCTCATCAAATTATAGAGATATTTTAAAAGAGTGGAAAATGTTGTCACTCAGCATATACAGCATGTTAGCATTAAATGTGCTTTTTTTTTTTCCAGTATACTACTAACATTCGTAAGATCAGATGTGAGAAATACCTTTCTTAAGAAGTGGGGAATCCATGGTAGATTGTAGAATTAATCCAAAGGAAAATTTAAAATCAAGCATTTACCCCACAACAGTTATTTTCAGAGAAATGAGAAATAAAAGGCTGTTTACGAACAGCTTTTTTTTCACCCAAAATGTTGGGAAAATGTGATGTGAACAAAGCAACTTTTTGCTTTGTTATGCAAAGGTTTTGAGTATGTCATTTTAAGAGATGCCGGCTTTGATGGCAGAAATTCCTACCCCTCCCATTACTTATTCCCATTCCTGCATCAGAGCTCACTGTTTCATTACTAGCAACCATTAGTGCAATCCCACAAGGAGTTTTGTCAGCCCAGATTCCAGAAGCTCGTAGGGAGCTGTGCTGCAAGAGTATGAAATTCTAAAACTGTCTTTATCCTTGAAATTCACATCTCATGACACCAGGAAGACTGCAGGTGCAATACATAACAAGTACGATTTTTGAACAACAGTTTTTTCAGGATGTGTCCTGTGTCTTGTTTCTTTTGCAAAGGCATAACCTTCAAAATGTCTATTATCATTCTTCAGGCTTCTCTTTGTCATCAAAATCAAATGCACTTGATGCCCCCAGGTTATGTCTTTTGACATAAGATTGATTTCTTTTTTATGCTTTTGAAGAAGAAATGTTTGCCTTCTGTATTTTAAAATCTTTTCTTGTTTTTTAAAGCATTTTAGTTCTACCTTTCTTTAAAAATGGGTATTCCAGAAAGGGAGGAAGACTGCTTTTCACCATATTGTACAGCTGGTCTGTGTACCTTAAGCATACAATTTACACAGTATTTTAAGATCTCCAAATTTAAGTATGACCTCTGTGCTGTGACTTACATTTTTTGGATAGCAGACTTAGCTATTCTGGATATATTCTAGCTATTCTTACCGTCTGGCAACGGTAATAATTGTTCTGAGTGCTCATCTGTGTTCTCAGCTATACATAAAGGGCTGTGTGGCTGGAAAAAATCCCCTGTGCTTGAGCTATCAGTAATTGCATCTTGAGCCTGGGTAGGAGTACTACTTGGAAACAACATGTTCTGCAAGTATCCCTTACAACAGCCAGGACACCCGCTGCTGTAGGTGTGACAATTCTCAGCACTGGTGTTAACTGTTTTCATATTGTGTTATTATGTGATAGCATATGAATGACTCTTCAACAACACTGATGAAAAACTTACATTGTTGTCCTTTGATTAAAATAAAGCCCTGACTGCAATTGTGTTTGTTCCAAATAGTATTTTAGGAAAAGAAAATACGACAGTCCTCCATTAATCAGGCATCAAAGTTCATTACCAGTTCGGAGCAATAGCTGTAAATGTAGCTCCAGCATTCATCGTAGAGTTAATTACAGTTGTAAGAGTTGTTCTTTGAAGTCTGACACTTGCTGTGGTGGTGCCCAAAGCACTGCTGCTTAAAGTTACTCTTCTGCATTGGCCCTTGTCACAGGATCTCTAGCTCCCTGAAGAAGGAGACTTTGTGTCAGTTACTTTTTTGGTTGTACTGTCAAGTGAGATTTGGAGGTAATTATGAATGGAATGGAAATGATCCCCATTGCTGTACGTCTCTGATGGCTCAGCTATAACAAAAGTTGTCAATGTGCCAGGCATGAGTTGAAGAACTCACTTGGATCTTGTGCAGTCTGGGAGCTCAGTTCCCATCATCTGTTGGCCAAATATGTTAGGATTTTAGTGGAACTTAAATGCCCTCTACTACATAGAAATTCACTGGATCTTGCACTTAATTCCTGCAGATTGGCCTCAAACCACTGTCTTGAACAACAATGCTTTGTTTCTATTGACACTTGAGGACACTGGAGATACCTGTTCTGTTCTTGTGTTGTTTGTACAGTTTCCTGTAAATAGCAATAAACTGCAAAACCTTGTCAGTAGTCAGCTTACCATGTTAGATCAATCCCACTAGGCTTTTTTTGGTGTCACTTCTTCAGCTAATGGCAGTGCTGTTGTAGAACACCCAACTCGCACAGTCCCCAAGCAGTGTTGTTACCATGGCATAGTTTTGCAAGCCTTGAATCTTATCAGAGGATGTGATTTTCTCCAGACTTTTTTTACTTGCTGTATAAGTGTACAAAATGACAAGCAGAAACTGTCATGGGAACGACACTTTAGCTATCTGCAGTGTTTTTCAAAACACTCATTGCAAGAAAATGCATGAGTGACAACAGTTTTGTTTATAAATAGGGACTCTCATCATGAGACTACTGTTGAGACTTGGTCCCAAACAAAATGGGGTTGCATGTAAGTGTGAAGGTTGGAGTTGCCATATCGCTGACCGTAACTTTACAACTTGTTCTCCAGATCTTTACAGACAAAAGGTAAACGTGCGGGTGTAAGGCAACACAAGAGCTTATTGTTACTTGGCTCTTTGTTTATAAATCATTGCTGTCTAGCATTAGTTTTAATTGAAAAAAATAATTTTAAGATTTACAGGTCTTATTCAGCCTCTTGGGCAGTGAATCAGTGACCAGCCTCAAAATATTTGCAAAGGGGGACACTTCTGAGTAACTTGTTTGCCAGCACCTACAATGCAAAATGTCAGGTGTTTGTTTTTGAGGCTGCATTCCTGCAGACTTGCTAGCAGATGTCTTCTCTTGCTGTGGAACACAGGCTTCCTCTCTGTCATTTGTTGTCTCTGATTCCCAGGATGAGTTTCTAGATTAGAAGAGGCAAAGCCAAGGTTATTCCAGTAGCTTTCTTTTGGCTAGGTGCAGTTCTAGTTCTCAGGGGTACCAGCATTTCCCAGAGTTCCTGAGCCAAATCCTGGTTGAAAAATTCAGACTCATTTTGCCATGTGACTGGATGAGCACCTCCGGCAAGGAGTTCTCCCTACCACCATGGAAATCCAAACACTGTGTGGAAATAGATTTCAAAACAACAGGTTCTTCAAAGTGGTAGAAACTATAGGGAAAAACCTATATAAATATAGCTGTCCCAGGCTGTTGTCTCAAACTAATCCACCTCTCATCGAGCTCCGAGCTCTACTTCACAGCAATTTCTGCTTCTGTCTCTTCTGTGGTGTCATACTTCTTTATTTTTTCCCTCCATTCCTCCCCATAGTATCAAGTTTCTTAGGGATACCACAGCTTGCATGCTTCAGACATGTACCAGTGTCTTGGTATGACCTACTTTCTTGCATTAAACAGAGTTCCTTGCACTTAATAACAAGCTCAACCTGGAGAGAACAGTATCTTAATGGCTGTGTCATGCCAGTTTAACAACAAGAGATTCATAACACATATGAAAAGTACATTTTTGCAGTACAAGTGAAAGTGAAACAATCTGTGTGATGGAACAAGACAATTTTTATTTCAAAGAAGGAAAAATATCTAGAGGAAACAAGATAAACTATCTTCTCATGTTTGGCTGTTTAATAAATTTTTCTTAGTTTGTGGCCTGGTAGCATGAATGAAAATAATTAGATGGTTAAAAATCCCAACAGAATAAACTGTCTCTCTAGGAAAGTGAAAGAGTTAAAAAAAAAACCAAACCCACCAACCTTTTAAGTAATAAAGACCACAGTTCCCTAAAACCCACGTTCTATGATACAACATACTTTGTGTGAGTAGTCCTTATATACCCATCTTGACAGTATAACATTAAAATTGGTTTAAGTGGTATTTAGCTTTGTTTCTTGAGGCCAGTGGTCCTGAATAATCCAGGGAGGAACTTCGCATATCTCTCAAGGTGATCTGTGAAGTGAGAAGCTGTGCAGGGAATTGAGCGTACAAGCAGCAGACAGGTGTTAGAGCACCGAGTCACACATGTGGCTCTGCTTGCTAGACTGCTAGGTAGCAAGTGAAGATGCAGAGCTGGGCATTTGTCCTCTTCAGTCATGAAGGGTAAAATTAGTTGCCAACTGTACTTAACTGTCTGGTTTACCAAGTTGTCATGGCTGTCCTGTATATATTAATAGCCTTCTGTATGGCTTTATAACATATCTTTTATATGATGTTGTGATTTTTTTTTTATTTTTTTTTTTTTCCCCCCAATGCAGCATGATAAACCAGGGCTGCTGAGCATGGCAAATGCAGGACCTGGTACTAATGGCTCTCAGTTCTTTATTACAACGGTGCCTACTTCTCACCTGGATGGGAAGCATGTGGTGTTTGGCCAAGTGATCAAAGGAATGGGTGTAGTTAAAATACTAGAAAATGTTGAAGTAAAAGGAGAAAATCCGGTTAAGGTAAACAAAATCCAAAGCATTTAGCAAATATGTTTATTCTTCCATTATATGATGTATATTAATTTTTTCTAAATGCTTGGTGTAATGTTTAGAACTATTAAATGTTAGACAGTTATTTTTACAAACAATGTTAGTTTCCATTTTACTTTCCTTGTTAAGAGGCTTTTGTTCTTTTGCTGTGAATTTCCTTTGCACAAACAATTGATTTATTGTTCAACACAGCTGTGAGGGTGGAAGCCTTTAATCAGGGTGAAGGTAGAAATGCACAGCTGGAAGTGTAGGACAGGTGACGAAATTAAAAGGTGGAATTCACAACCCTATCTAAGCAATATGTAATTCTTGCAAATTTTCTCTCAGAAGTCATTGTATTTCTGGAAAACCAATCAGTATGTGGGCCATGTCAGTTTGTGGTTGTTTGAAAAATTAATACCTCTGTAATACCTCTGTAATTTTAAACGACTTGGCAGTTTAAGAAAGACCTATCTTCTGTAATGTAGTAGAACTTCCATGTCTTGTGTTTTGCTGCAGCTCAGCTTGCTGCCAGTTCCTCTTCCAGCTTCTCTGTGGAGCGTGGGTATGGTGTTCTTGGAATGCTGCTCCTCTGAATGCAACACTTTCTGTGTTAAAAGCCTTTTGAGGAGGATAGGCTAATGATCTATTTGATGGGTTTCTGCACCCAAACAAAAGATGAAAAAGCAGTTTTACTGAATTTCAAAGAGCACTCAGTAGTTGTGGCTTTTTTTCTTTTTAAATTGTCTTAATAAGCAAGATTGCTATTTACCCTTTATTTTTTCAGTTGTGTGTTATTGCAGAATGTGGAGAGCTAAAGGAAGGAGATGATTGGGGAATTGTTCCCCAGGATGGATCTGGAGATGCTCATCCAGATTTTCCTGAAGATTCAGATATAGACTTGAAAGATGTAAGTATTTTTTCTTTTAAGGTATTTTACAGAATGCAAGACTTGTAGGTAATCTGAGTTATATGGTGTCTGTGATGATGTTCACTAAGACTTTTTTCTTAAGAATTGATCAAGGTTCTGATTAAGTGGTGACAATCAATTGTAGGAAAGAGAATGCTGTGAGAGGAGATTGCTGTCTCTTTTTTTCAGTGCTAATTGAAGCTGATTTCTTCCCCAGTAACTAAAGCCACAATTACTTACAATTATTACACTTACTTTTTTTTCTGTTCTTCATTTCTTTTTACTTTTGTTTGTGCTGTGGTGACAAATTGCAATTACTAGAACTCCATCCTGCAGATAACTAACTCAGTGTTATACCTACACACTTTTTCTGTGCAACTTTTTAAATAACCACTCTTAAAATGATGTTCCCTCACTTACTAGAAATAATAAAAGGATCCACCTTTTTAAAAGATTTGAGAAAGAGCTAGTCATTCTCAGTTCCCAGTAGTTGTTTGCTTTTCAGGTTGTTCAAACTGAAGGAAGACCTGTTGTTGAGAGTTAGCAAGCAGACGGGTGAAAGCAAGCAGCTCTTATCCAGGTTTTTACTTATCATGAAAGCGAAATAGATAAACTGTCTAAATCAAACAGTGATTTGTGAGAGGGGAAAGAAAGAGGACTGTGTGTATAGATTCCAAATACAGAATTAGAAATAGAATAGTAAAGAACCATTACAGCTAGAAACCAGAAAGTCCTTGTATCTGGCTATTGAGAAACACTTCAACTGGTGAAAATGTTTTTGGATAGCGTTTGCTGTGGTTCAGAAGTTGGCAGGTGCCTGCCTCTTTTAACTTTAAACTTGTTCAGATAAACCAACTACAGAAACCATGGTGACTTTGGTCTCATGTTGTGATCAGGTTTTTTTCAAGGTTATTAATTCTAGTAGTGTAGAAGTGTAAACTGATAGTATTACAAATGGCAATATATACATTTGACAGAGCTTAAGACAACCGTGATGTAGACAGCAGTAATTCTGAACTGTTTACTGCCACTGGAAAAGTAACTTAATGCTTGAAATGTATGCCATTCTGGAAACAGAAATGATGGATTTGATAAAGACAAGCAGGTTCCTTTTCTTATTCCATAGATGTTTTACTTGTTTTGAAAGGAGAATTGTGTTGATACGACTTCTAGTTTAAGAGCAGGCAGAGTTCAGGTGACTAACACCGTTTTGAGAAGCAGAAGAGAAAATCTTGGGAATAAGGCAGTCTTGGTTGAATACTTGGATTGTTAGCATGTCTTCTTTTCTATGAATAACGGTCAACACCTTTTTATATAGCTCTGCGTGGGTAGCAGCATTTAGGGGAAGGAGTTGAACTGCTATGTTGTCTCTGGTATTTTCTCACCCTTTACACTGTAGAAAACCCATTAGGAATTTCATATGTCAGACTACTGTGTTACATAAAAGTAGAGAATATTATAGCACTGGTTTGAAGCTAGTATTTGTCTAAAGTTGGAATATTTTTATTCAGATTTTATAATCTTTGAAAGAGGATGGACATGGGATCCTACTGTTAAACATTAAATAATTCAAGACTTCTTTCATAGGTACATTCATACTTTATATTTTCCATCTATTTTATTAGGTTGACAAGATTGTGGCCATAGCAGAAGACATAAAGAATATAGGAAATACTTTCTTCAAATCGCAAAATTGGGCAGTGGCAGCTAAAAAGTATAGTAAAAGTTTACGGTAAGGCTATCATCATTCAATCAGGTAGTTCCTGTAACCCAAATGAATACTGCTATCAAGCAATGATATGTGCATTTAAAAAGTGCCTGTTGCTGTGCTCTTCTCTTTTTTTAAAAGAGGAGCCTCCTGAATCCGGAAAAGATATAACTGATTTTTAGCTACTTATTCAAGTAGGTCTTCTACTTGTTGCTAGGTAAGAGATATAGATGACAGGAAGTATTGTTTAGAACTGACTAAATGCTCCTTTTTTAATATACTTGCTGTGCTGGTGCATAACTGGGAAGAAAAGCACAATAGTATACTGGGTAGTTAATGGACAGGAAAGGAGGGAGATACTTCTCTGATTTCTTAAAACCAGTAGGTTTAGGAAATTGCTAAATTCAAGAGAGAATACCCCCAAATGGGACCCTTATTAATTCATCGTGATTTTTTCTGAGGCTCCATACCATCATTCTGACTCCATGTATGATTCAGACTTGCTTTCAAAATCATGGTCTTTCTGCTTTTATTTCCATACTGCTCCTTTCTTCTTCTCAAGCTTTTTGAGTATGAGCTTCTTCTAAAACCTTTTTTTTTTTAATACTGATCGTTATCCCTACCTTCTTAATGATCAGTGGTTAACTAGCAGTAACAATAGTGAAAGAAAAAGAATTCAGGCATACTTAATGCTTCAGCTGAGTTTTTAACTGACTGGGTTTCAAACAAATGATGTCTTTCTGAAACATAAAAATGACTCCTTTAATTACAGATATTAAGCCAAGATGCTACATCTATGTCTGCCCTCAAAAAGCCCATCACAGACCAACAATAACCCCTAAGTAAATAGGATTTCTATGTAAACCTTTTAGAATCATACAGAAAAAAGGCTGGAATGGATCTTTAGGGACCTTTGTGTTGTGTCTGTCAATTTCCTCTCCCCTTTCTTAGGTAAATATCAGGTATAATTACATCATCCCTTACCATCAGCTGTCTTGCTCACTCTTAAGCACACCCAATGAAGGCTCTTCCAGTTTGAGTAGACAGCTGCTATTTGGTGCTTATTTGTCCTTGTGGATGAAAATGATAGTAACTTTTCTAGACTAAACAAATCTGATCATTCCAGCTCTTCTCTATAGGTCATACTTCTGTGGACATGCCATGTTATTGTATCTTAAAATCTAATACTTTAGGTAGAAAGTGTACTTTAGCTGTCACTTTGCCAAAACTGATAAGACTAGAATAGGTCTTGTTGGGGTATCTCTCATGTCTTAACGTACAACTCACCTAGCAAAATATCTGGCAGTGCTGTTTTCCTTGTACCAGCAGTAACCATTATAACTTTCTGTTCATTTTCTTGTCTTATTGCTGCTTAACCAGTTTGAAAAAATTTATATGCAAGAATTGACACTTTTTTGTCAAAAAAGTATTACTCCCTATTGTCTCCCCATCTTACTAATTTCTTACCTAGCTGGGAGCTTCAATTTTATTTCCAGAATGGTTGCAGTCTTTCATGTTTTGGCGTGATTATAAATATTATATGTATATTCTGTTTGGTTTGAACATAACACAGTTTTGTATTCTAACTCTCCTTAGCTTTTTATCCTTTTCTCTCTCTTCTGGTTCTCATCTTTTACATGATGCCCAGCAAGTGGAAAAATCACTGGGACTGTGTCTAATTTACTTTTTAAAGTATTTCCTATTTCTGTGATCCAAAGTTTTATACAAACCATGCAACATTCAAAAGATAAGGATGCAAAAATTGAACTTACATAGGCACTGATCTCCAAAGACTGCATTAATCATAGCGTGCTTAAAATGTGAAGGTATGCAAACACATGCTTTTTATTTTTTAAATAAAACCAACAGAAGTGCTATCAAGTAGGCCATTAAAAGAGTTATATCCACAACAGACTTGCCACTTGAAATAAAAACCTGAAAGCATTAGCACATTGTAAATTAAGAAGAATGAGATATAGTTTGCCTATGAAACAGAGAAGCAGTAAATGATGTGGCTTAGTCCTGAACCACTGTCAGTTTTGAAGTTCAGGAAAAAAGTCATGAAGGAAGACAGTGGAAAGAAGGTGAAGTTACTAATGCTCATAAACCACCCTCCTTTACAAAATATAAGTTAGCTCCAGATTTTGGTCATAAATGCCTAAACTAATTAAAATATTACTGAGAGAACTGAAGAAGAGATGAGGTTTTTTGTGAACGTGGAAGGTGCAGTGGTGGTCCTGACTTTTTGCCACTGATAAGCAACTTGTTTTTTGAGAATAAACAGTCATTGAGATAAATTATAATGGTTTCATGCCATCTAGAATACTGCATTTCTCAAAGAAAAAGAATGCCATTAGTACAGTGGAGGACTAGGAGTCACTGGAGAACATTCATCAGTGTGTTCATCTTTTTTGTCAGGGTAGGTTTTATATTTTTAGTTTTAAAAATAATTGTAGTAGTGGAATTGAAGCTGCTTTAAAAATACCAGTTTGGAGAGGCCAGTTCGCACATATCTGTGGAAAGATAGCTAAGGCCAGAAGAAGATGGAAGTTGCAAGATTAATACATGTTCTTTGTAAATCTGTTTTTCTGCAGGTATGTAGAAGCTTCTGAAACAGTGGCAGAGGAGACAGACAAACCAAAGTTAAAGACGGCTGCTTTGACCTGTGTTTTAAACATTGGCGCTTGTAAACTAAAACTGTCAGATTGGCAGGGAGCCATTGAAAGTTGTTCAGAGGTAAATTTAATGTTTAGTACTTTGATGAACAATTGGCCTATATAGAAAATGAAGAGTGAAACTACAAAGCTTTTTAAAGGGTCTTCTGACAAGCTTATGATTTGAAAGTAAACAAAGTAGAAGGCTGATCATGAAGTTATTACTAACTTTTCAGTATGTGTCTCTTTTTAAAAAGATTTTGAAATTGAAATGACTCATTAGAAACAAACAAAAGAGGGCTGTTGCTTACTGCCAGAAAAAACTCATGTTGTCATTGTCAGTTTGGTTTGCTGAGCTAATTTTTATATTACTGAGAGTTAAGTTGTCTTCAGTGAAAGAGGAATACTTTTCTCGGGAAGACTAGTCTGAGCAAAATGTTTTACTTGCTTTTAGATTTGATGGTTTTGTATTTTATTAGTTGAAGTGACTCTTCTAACTAAAGCCCTTTTGGGTAGGCTTCATGATGAAATGAAACCAGGGAATAGGAAGAAAGAAAGAATAATAAATATGTAAATATTGAAATATAATAGAATTACAGGAACAGTGTCATAGACAAACTGACAGAATTTAGTACATTTGAGGAATAAATAATTCAGTAGAACTATGAAATTATGAAGGAAACAGAGTAAGAAATGCTCTTATCTGTTAGCAGAGGATCCTGAGCAGCAGGCTCAGGCTAATCTGTGTGTGAGGTGTCTTTAGGGAGCTGGCTTGCTTTCTAGCCTGCTGATGGAAAACTTTCATAAACCTATATTCAGAATGGACAAATGGGGAATGAGTAAAAAGAAGAAGAAAACTGTGTAAAGTGATATCTGTCACTTAGAAAATTATAAAAATTGAAACGGCGTTTAAGTGTTACAGATAGAAATTATTAATCATAATACTTACCATTGTGAAAAAGACCGGCTGCTTCCTTTTTTCTAAAAATTACAGAATTGTTAGGTAAAGGCAACTCCATAGCTGTAACAGACTTCTGTAAGGTATTTAACATACATCTCATAATAAAGTGTTAAACAGTGCATCACTATTTTAATCAGAACACCAGTTTCCTAAAATTAACTAGTAGAGTTCAAAGTAATTGTTAATGAGACACTTCCTCTTTTATGATTTCCTAAGGCCAAAAGTGATTTAAATTAACAATCTGTAATACACACATTATTTGGTGTAAATAAGGAATTACAAATGCCTGAACCTGTTCTAGCAAACCTTGCTTTAAGGTAGCTGTAAACAGAGTGGTCGAGCTAAAACCAAGGAATGCTACTTAAGTGTACACAATACAGACACCTAATTTTCTAATTCTTGATACAGAAGAGGCTTTATGATTTATAGGAGACAGCTCAAGATGAGCACCCAGAGTAATCCTTCCTTTATATTAACAACCAATACTGAAGCAATTTAAAAAAATCTGGGTGCATTACCTAATGTCTATAATCCTAATTAATGATTTAAAGTTTATTAATTTAATTTATTAAGCCATATATACATGCAAAGAAGTTTTCTCTAATCAGCAAGAAACTATATTCTTCAAAATAATTCAAAAAAAGACACATTATAGAATGATCTGCAGGAGCATTCTATAGTGTGTGCTTCACAGGCAAGAAAACAAAAGAGCTAGCTGGCAAAATTAACTGAGGTACTTTGAAAAAATAATTTAAGTAATCAAATAGTGGAACAGTATCTTTGCCCCGACACTGTATTTCCTATTTTGATATTGTCATATTAGAGCTGACATATGCACGTTAGTGAAATCATTCAGCTCAAAAAAGGCATAATGACTGGAACTTGGCAAGGTTCCTGAAGCATGAGATGGATTGCTTGTATGCATCTTTCTAGCCTACAGAGCTTTACAGGAAATCTGTGTTTTCTTTATGACACCATTTGAGGGTTTTTTGGTGTGAAGGAAGGAGATGCAATATAGAAAGAAGTACGGTGAGACTCAAGGTTAGGATAATTTAAACTGCAGCAACACCTTTGCCTTGACAAAGAGAGAGACACACGCACACAGAGGTTCCATTTTATCCTCACATATGCTGGTCCTTCACAGAAGACCACTTCTGGTGCAACAGTATTAAAACTGATTAGCTAGCTATTCGGTGTGCTACATTATAGCCTTCCTTTTTACACAGTTAATGTTTTGACAGCTTACCCTCAAACCAACTGGGGAGATTGTCTGCTGGTGTGAACTGTACCATTTGTGGAAATGGGAGGCTGTGAAGTATATGAAATGTTAATGTGACAATTTTATTAAATTTACAGGCTCTTAAAATAGATCCAGCAAATACTAAAGCTCTCTACAGACGGGCTCAAGGATGGCAGGGAATAAAAGATCTCGATCAGGCATTGGTAATGAACATAGTATTTTTTTTTTAATTCTAAAAATTTAATCAGAACATTAATTTATATTTCTCTTTTATTTAAGGCTGATCTTAAAAAGGCTCATGAAATAGCCCCTGAAGACAAAGGTAAAATCAAGCTGTTTGTTTCTAAATTCTTTACATTGTTAAAGAAAAATAATGAGGGTAATATTTAGTAGTAAATCACACCAGAGTGATGCCTAAAATTCTAGCTTCTAACAGCTTAAATGCTGCTACATGAACCTAGAGCGCACTGAGGTGAAAAGCCTGTTTTTATAAAGCAGTGATGCTTCTGTTGTGCTGGGAAATCTGCTTATGTAGGTCAAGACCATGCCTCTATGTCATAGGGGTCTTACTAATTTTAATTTCTTGGTCTAATTGGACAAGATTTTTAGCTCATAAATTCTGTGTTGACAGCAATACTGTGCTTGCTACACCCTCCTCTACCTGGCTACCTTACCAGGTGAAACAAAGTAAGGGACAAGGGGTTTTTTGCTCCTAGTATCTGACCTAACAGAAGATTAAATGAGGTTCTATTAAATGAAATAACATGAGTAACTTGCAGCAGTGGGACCTGGTCTTGACATATTAGGAAACCTAATGTAAAGAGATTACTGTAACTGTATGATGGATTTTCTTTTTAAGCAGCTATCCAGACAGAAACACTCAGAATCAAGCAGAAGATAAAAGCCCAAAAGGAGAAAGAGAAGGCAGCTTATGCTAAAATGTTTGCTTGATTTTTTTTTCTAAACTTAAATCTATGCACTAACTCATGCAAAAGGATAAACAGAGCTGCTTCTTTCATTTGCCCTGTACTGCAGTTTTCTGTGTTTACCACTCAGAAGTCTAATAATAAACACAAATTGTTCAAAGGTGGAGTTGTTTTCTTTTTTTAAGCTATAGTAACTTGTGTTTTGCAACTTGAATGTTTTCCTAGCATGTAAATCAGTAGTGGCTGTGTTTTTCAGCTTAATAGTGCTTCTTAAGCTTGAACAATTCAGGCAGTTTATATTAGAGATTTTATTAGAGCAGGCCTGTTTTCATGTAAGAAATAAAAATACTGGTAGACATACAATGAAGATGCACGTATTACACTTCTTTTTTTGAAAATGTTTGCAGCTTGGCTCCCTATTACTATGGGGGGGGGGAAATCTAACTGTAAATTTGATATAAAATATGTAACACTTAAAAGCAGTGATGGATTTCTAGACTAATGTATTTTCCCTACTGCAAGGTAGGATTAAATATAATAAATTATTCCAGATAGAGAGAGAAAATACTTTATTTTTTAAGGGCAGGTACTGAATTCCACCATACCCACAATTCTGGATATGGCTCTCATTATCACTGAACTTGAGCAATAAATCCAAGTTCCAAACCTCCTTTGTCAGTCCTGAGAAGAACTTTCTTCTGCCTGCCACACAACTCCTGTAGAGAAGTCCTATTTAAATAAGGCTAGGATTTAACCAGAAGGCACTGACTTCCCATTTAATGCAACAGTCGTACCTAAAATTCAGAATGGCACATTAGTCTCAAACTCCTTTAACATTCAACTCAGTGCTGTAATGACACCACAGCATAAAATACTCCAACTTATTTGTTGGTGATCAGAAGTCACTGAATAGATTTCCCATCAGTTTACATTCCATTATAAGCTGGTCCTCCTCCACCTTCAGGCACTACCCAGTTTATGTTCTGACTTGGGTCTTTAATATCACATGTTTTGCAGTGGACACAGTTCTGAGCATTTATCTGCAGTCTTGATCCTTCTCCTGTTTCCAGAGGAATATATTCATAAACTCCTGCAAAGAGCAAAAGAGAGCTATCACTTCACTGAACAGTCTCCCCCTGCATGTATGGTCTACTACTTACCAGCAAACATAATGAGGGAAGTGTATCACTAGTGTGATTCAACTGCCTTCTTCCATATGTACTAATTATTCTGTCATGAAAGTACTGTTAACATATTTTAAGGCACTCAAACCCTCTTCTAGGAGGAAGATTTGGATAGACTGCTTGAAGTAAGTAGTAGGCCAGGTAGACTTTTCCTGAAGTACTTAAGTCTTTCACCTTGCAAAAACAGCTCAGACACATTTTTGTTACCTACCTGCTGGACAAAATCTTTGTTCCGGTCCATCGAATACAGCCAGATTCCTGCTCACTGGGATGCTGTCATCTTTGAGAGTTAAATGAGCAGGCTGGTCATGTTCATGGTTCGTACCACTTAAAGCCACAGAAGACAATAGATCAAAACTGATTTTTCCATCAGGCTTTGGGTATTCAATAGGTGTGCAATCTTTGGCTGGCTTGAGCTGAGCAAAATCTGGTCCTAAATACATTTTTAATAAATACAGTTTCAGTACAGAATTACTGTAATTTGCAGTTACTCAAGAGCAATTTTATTAAGCTATTTTAACTCCTTGTCATCAGAATGAAGTATTTTGTAAGAGGTAGCCTTTTCATAGACAAAAAACTACGCTAACAGTGGTTTAATGTCTTCATTTACATTATGTGCTAGGTAATGACAAAGTCTGCTTCAATGCCTTACTGATTTCTTTTCTACATTAAGGCCTCACCACTTGACCAGGTGTGCTCTAGCTTCAACTAAGACTAGAAAAGACTGATGTATACGTTTAGTATCTTCTTTCAGGAGATAATGAAATTACCTGGATGTTTTAATGTCCATGGTTCCATTCCTCTCAGTAGCCAATAAAATATACCCGTGTAAATCATCCCTCCATACACACCAAGTATGCTATGGCAGGATGGTCGGATGTTTCTAACCGCATACAGCTCTTTCCAAACCCAGGACTTTTTCAGATTCTCTTCATACTCTTGCACATCAAGTCCTAAGGCAGTACATTACTTGTTAGGTACCTACAGTACATAAAGACTATCCTTGAAAGAAAAAATAATGGCTGAATAAAGACAATTGTTAGTAATGAAGGCAGCAAAATGAGAATTTCAGAATAGCTCGGAGTACATTAGACAACGTATTTCAGCCTCCTGCAGAGATCCATTTTGTTGGCAGCAGCAGGTATCTAGTGCATCTTTGTAGCCTTTATTAAATGACCCACAAGCAGCACTAAATTGCCTCAAACCAATAACTTGCCAGGTGGCTATATTGGCACCTCTATGGGAAAATAGCTACTCGCTCATAGAATCTAAGAATTGACAGAGTTTATGTGTAATCCAAGAGGCAGGTTTATAATTTTGATATTGTCAGGTTCAAAGCTTTTTCTTTACAAGTTATGCAACCACAAACATTCTGATTTCAGTAACTATGACTGTGGCCCAATGGATGATGCCACTGCTAGAGAACATTTTTTCTCCCTTTGCAATCAGCAAGTTAATGAGATATATTTGACTACAAGCTTTTGATTTAAACTCTTGGATTGTACCCTTTATAAATACTAGACACTGCATGCCTGACATATGACACATCCACTGCAGTGTAGTTAAAGCCAAGTAACTATCTCAGGAAAAAAAATGTTTCTTCAAATGGAAGCTTTCTGAGAGCTTCCCTTTCACCATTCTCATTACTACTCTGTAGGAATAGATGTTCTAAATAGTAAGTTTTAAACCCTGTCTTTATGTGAATACTTGAGGCCTATTGTTGTAGCAGTAGGATCAATACTTAAGAATAACTAAGCAGAAGTTTATTCATTTATTTCTTTCTTAAAGAATTTGTCAGTCTAAATAGCAAATAAACAATAGATATCTTTTTAAACCACCAGCCTCATTTAATGATTTATTTGCATTTCCAACTAATTCCTTCAGACACATTTAGTTACTGCTAAGTTGCTGGTGATCCTAATGGAACAAAAGGTAATTACAAATCAAAGTACAGCGATCTTACCTATTGTCTTTGATTGGAGATTTTCGTTGATTAATTGGCTAAAGATGGCTTCTGAAGCCAGCATGCCACTTTTCATTGCGGTATGTGTCCCTTTGATCTTAGGAACATTCATGAGTCCAGGACTGCAACCAATTAATAAGCCACCTGGGAAAGTGAGTTTGGGTATTGACTGAAGAGGAAACAAAGTAAGATGGTTGGTTATTGGTTTTTAAAATGAGAATAACATTCTGGCAATGAAACTGGCATGAGGCTTGAGTGTCTTTTGCATTTTTAGATTTGCATGTGCACTATCTAAACATCCACCAGTTACTCCACTTAATCAAGGAATTTTGGCATAGTAAACAATTATGGATACAGATGTACTGGGGCTAAGTATAAAACAATGACAACATTTTCCTTATATCCTCTCTACAGTTGCTTTATCTGCAACAAGACTGTGGTAATGTCACCCACTGATACTGTTTTCCTTCTTCAAGAGTAAGTGAATTTTTTTTTTTTTTTTTTTTTTTTTTTTTTTTTAAAATCATGTTCCCATTTTCCACACAAGTTGTATGCATCTCATCTCACAGTTTATTACTCAGTGCTTTTTTCCACAAATCTCTTCTGTGAAACCACACAGTGCTCTCCCTGTTCCCACCCAGGCCCCACTTATTTTGAAAGTTCTTCAGAAGCCAACAAATACACTTTGGTGCAAAATCATTGTCTTATTCCTGTTCTGTAAGAAGCATAATGTCACTGAGTACATTCAACTCACAAACTTAGGACAGCCAGATGATTTGCAAATGTCAGGTCCATATTATTAATATACTATGTAATATGCCTATATTAACTAAGGAATATCTCAACTATCAAGATAGCTATTCCCACCCTTATCCAATAAGATTAGGATTTCAGGGAACAGCTTCAAAACATACATTGACTGCAGCACTTTGAGCAGAAAGCTGTGATCACATCCTAGGCCTGAAATTGCTAAAGGTAAGTTATGAACATGACCCTCCTTCAAAAGTCTTTAGTACTGAGCAGCACTTGTGAATATAGCATCCTGCTTTTATTAAAGTTGCCTGAAATAATAAAGTTTTTAATAGCCTAAATAATTTGACCCCAAACAAGTACTTTTATTTAATGAAAAATGTCCAAAAAACATATCCCTTGAAATTCAAGATAACCTGAAACAAACATTTTGTTTCTTCTGCTTGTTCTGCTTATCTGTTTACTATTCAGCCAGGGCTGGTTACTTTTGAATATTCATATAGTAGTCACTAAAAAAAGTTGTACCACCCAGCATTTTCCCTGTGTTTTGGGCAATTTGATTAATCACAGATTTAGTAATTTGGTTTGTAGGAAATGTAGTTTAGGCTGAAAACAAAATTTCATATTTTAATGTACTTTTCAGTGTTCAGAAGTCATAATTTCAGCTACATAACAGCATTTTAAAGCAATTAAGTAGTAGGATATCCTCTTTTTTCACAAGACCTCTGGCTGAAAACATTCTGTCACATTCTTTAGAACACAATGATGCAGCACTTGACACAAGCATAGAAAGATTCTTGACTGACTCTTTGAATTACATAAAAAAAATGGTAATAGAGTAGTTTTCTTCTGCAACAACTGTTTCACTTAATAGGTACACAGTGACCAACATACTGTCAAAGTATAAATGAGAATAAAGATTAGTCATATAACACAAAAGGTTACATGTACTGCAGCATTGTTAGTAATTTTCATCATTAGTAGTGTGGAACTTAGCGCCTGTTCTCGCCGTCAGTTGAAGAAACCCATCTTGCCAGTTCGGCACAAGCCCTTCCTGCCCCTGAGATACAAGGTGAAATCCTTTCAACCCTGAGCACTTGGAGCAGCAATCACTCTCTTGGCAGCAGGTTTGAGGGAGGGAAGAAGGGAAGACACCTGCTTCCTGCAGAGTCCTCTCTGCCAGCAGACAGGGAACCCCACATTCTCCTCCCCTTAGCTCAGCTCAGGGCTGAAAATCTAAGTGAGTCTAATGTTGGACACTTGCT